TGCCCTTGGTGGCCCGATGTGCGCTCTGCCATGAGGAGTGGGCCCCAGATGGGAACACTGTCCTCACCAGAAGAGGTGAGAAAAGAAAAAAAGAAAAGAAAAAGAAAAGAAAAAAAGCAAGAAGACCAAGGGCAGCTGAGCAGCCCCAGGTGGAACCCAGGTATCCTGACTGCACCGGGTCTGGCCCAGACCCAGAGCTTCGGGCAGGAAAGGGCTGGGCTCAAACACGCCCACCCTGCATTGCCTTAAGAAGGGCAGGGCTGGGCTGGGAGCGGTGGCTCACGCCTGTAATCCCAGCACTTTGGGAGGCCGAGGCGGGCGGATCACGACGTCAAGAGATCGAGACCATCCTGGCTAACATGGTGAAACCCCGTCTCTACTAAAAATACAAAAAATTAGCCCGGCGAGGTGGCGGGCGCCTGTAGTCCCAGCTACTCAGGAGGCTGAGGCAGGAGAACAGCGTGTACCCGGGAGGCGAAGCTTGCATTGAGTCGAGATCGCGCCACTGCACTCCAGCCTTGGCGACAGAGCGAGACTCCGTCTCAAAAAAAAAAAAAAAAAAAAAGAAGGGCAGGACTAAGCCTGCTCCTCCCTTCCTGGAAGGCTGCTTACTGGGGCAAAGTGGCCTGGTCCCTCCTCTTGCCCAGGTCCCCCAACTTCTCAATTTCTCCCACCTTGGGCAGGGCAAAACCTGTGTTCCATGTTCCATAGGAGAGAAAGGCCAGGCTGGCCTCTGGGTTGCTTCTGCACCTACCTCTTTGGCTTCTTTCTCTCTGCCGCCCCCATGTGGCCAATGTGCACCAGCGAACCTGCTTCCCTCAGAGATGACAAGCCAAGCCTGTCAGGCCCTAGGGACCCCAGGCTGACCCCTGCCCTGGTCTGGCCTCAGTCTCCCTGTCTGTGAAATAGGCTGCTGGAGATTCTGCTTCAAAGGTGTCAGCTGGCGGCAAGGATATTCGAGGGGTGAGGAGCCCCTCAGAGCAGGCATGAGAGTATCTCTGTGTACCCAGAGATCCCTGAAAAATCAGAGACCCTGGAAGCCAGATGGAGGTGTCAGTCAGCGTCCAGAACCTGGATCAGACTAAGCGGAGTTTGAAGCCCAGTTCCAACATTTAATAGCTGGTGACGCCCACGAGTCACCAGTTACCACCTCTGCGCCCCATCTGCAGAATGGGGAGATGAAGTTGTCCCCCATCGCAGGGTGTCAGGAGGGCAGACATGCTGCTGCTTGCAGAGCCCTGAGTGCCAAATGCTTGGGAAGTGGTGGGGGGGTGGGCTTCTTAGTTCTGGAAGTTTCCATGAGTGACCTGAGACTGGAGTTTGCCGCAGGGATCTCCACCCCACTCCATCTCAGTGTCCCAGCCTCAGCACTGAGCACCCCCTTCCTCTCACCCACTGCCCCCTCTGGAGGAGACAGGCCTGGGCCAACTGAACCGGGTGTCACAGTGCCAGGGACAAAGGGACAGATTTTTTAGACCGTGCTCTCTCGAGGGAAGGGGCCGATTCCTCCACCAGCGTCCCAACCCGGCCCCCTTTCCCCACATAGAGTCCTTAATTGTCCCTGTCCCCACCTTGCCCCATCATCAGAGGGTGAAGCTCCCCACGCACCACCATCGACCAGGCCTGCCCCTAGGACACCCTCTGTGGACTGGAGCCTGGGAGGACTTCACTCAGCCCCCTCCAAGAGAGACCGGGCAGACAGGTGGTCTCGGCTGCTCCCTCCTCAGAAAGCGCAGTTGGGTTCCAGGAAGTCAATGGGTGATGGAGGACCCCAGCTCAGGGCTCAGTGAGCCGGACCAGCCTGGCCGCTGAGAGAGCTCCCGGAGGAGGCGACCCGACCGGGACCCTGGCTTAGAGTCTCAGCAAGCCAAGCTCCTTCAAATGCCCCCACCTTGGCTCCACACCCCTCCTCCAGACCGCACTCGCGTGAGGCGCTAGCTGGAAGATCCCTGCGGGCGCCAGCACCGCAGTGGGTGCCCGGGCCTGGCAGAACCTCCCTGAATCCCATCTTGCTTCTCCATCGGCAGCGGGGCAGAGAGGGTGTGGGGGCTGCAGGGCGGGGACAGGTTGGCCTGGGCTCAACAGCTTAGCGAGGGCCTGGTGCGGGCTGGGCAGGCTGGACTGAGGGGCAAAGGGGTCTGGGCGGGGCGGGGCCGCTCTGGGCGCCCGGCCCCCACCAGTTCCTCCCCCGGCCCCCGCCTCTGCCCTCCCACGCACCTGCGCTGGCCTCCCCCCAAGCCCTGGGGGCAGCGGGCGGGTGGCGCTGGGAGATCAGAGGACTCAGAGGAGTCGGGCCCAGGGGGAGGGGGCGGGGAATTTCCCCCCACGCCTGCCTGGGCCTGCTCCCCTCCCCCTTCTCCGCCAGGTGGGGGGCGCCGCTGGGGGAATTCCACTGCAGTGCGAAGGCTCGGGAGAGTCTGGGCTGGGGGTCCCAGGGAAGGGCGCGGGGGGAGGAGGGGACAGACTGGGACCTGGGGCACAGCTGCCTTTCTCCCCAGACACCAGCTGCCCCTGCCTATCCCGGACTGAGCGTCCACGACTCCCGCCTGTCTCGTGGGCGCAGGGGCAGGGAGTGGCGCTTCCTCCTTCAGGCCAGCGGCATCTGGACCAGGGGCGGGAGGGGCGTGCGGACCGGAAGAAAGTGTGCGCGTGAGCACCTGGCAATGAACGGGTGAGAGTGCGAACGCGTGCGTGCACTGGAAGGAGGGTGCTTGTAAGTCTGACATTCCGGGGTATCCTGGGGCGCCTGCGGCCACGGGAGGGGGTTCTGTATCTCCCATTTTAAGGGCCTTCCGTCCGCTTGCCCCACCTGTCCCCCTCCACACCCTCCCACTTGAACCGGCACCGACCTGAGGGAGAGGGGGCGGGGAGGCGCGGGACGCCTGGGGTCTGGGGAGCGGGCGTGGGAGGCGTCTGGACCTGCTGCCTCCGCTCCAGTCCTGGGCGGGGCTTCCCGGCCTCCCACGGGGGGAGGGAGAGACCCAAGGGGAGGGACCCAAGGAGGGATGCGAGGGGGGCAGGAGTCAGCGTGTTGGAGACCTGGGCGAGGGAGACGCCGAGAGCGAGGCGCAGTGAGAGGGGGCGGGTGTAGAGGCCGAGGCACCGCCCAGAGCTCCCTGAGACGGAGACTGAGAACGCCCCCGGCCAGATCCCCCCCGGAGAGACCCGGGTAGGGACAGGGGCAGAGAGACGCCTCCAGGGGCAGAGGCCCTGGGAGGCAAAGACCCCAGGAGAGATTTACCCACCCCAGACCGAGAGCGCGGCTCAGAGTCGGACGAGGGCAGACTGGCAGAGGACAACGCCCCCCAGGTCTCCTGGGAGACCCCGGAGCGACCCCGGGGGCAGCCCGGGCCGTGTCCGGGCGAGGGTGACCTATCCTTGGTTGGGGGCGATGGGGACACAGGACCTGCAGGGCTTCCTCTTTCTCCTCTTCCTCCCGCTGCTGCAGCCGCGTGGGGCCTCGGCTGGGAGCCTGCACAGTCCAGGTAAGTATAGGCACGGCTGACTGGCCGTGTTCACCACGCTCTCCTCGGCCTCCGCCCCCAGGGCCAGACCCCCAAGGCTGGGGAAGGGCACAGAGCAGGTGGCCGGAGCAGCTGAGCAGCCCGAGGGTTCCCGCAGGGGCTGGTGCGGGGACGCTGACTGGGGACGCAGGCGGGAGGTGGCGTAGGGGCGCGAGGATGCCCGGCGTGGGTCCGGACCTCCCCAGGCCCCGCCTTTGCCGTGCAGGCCTGTCCGAGTGTTTCCAGGTGAATGGGGCTGACTACCGCGGCCACCAGAACCGCACTGGCCCGCGCGGGGCGGGCCGCCCGTGCCTTTTCTGGGACCAGACGCAGCAACACAGTTACAGCAGCGCCAGCGACCCCCAGGGCCGCTGGGGGCTGGGCGCGCACAACTTCTGCCGGTGAGGGGCGGGGCCTGCGCTGGGGGCGAGGCTGGGCTCGCCGTTGCGGGGATGGCCCGAGGCGGGGTCTCTGTGCGGGCGGGGTGGAGGTCTGCGGTGGACCGGCAACCCAGTTGCCCAAAGAACCTGGGGGCAGGGCCAGAACGAGGGGCGGGGCGGGGCGGGGGGCGCGGAACCCTGGCGAAAAAGGGGTCCTCCTCAGGTGCACAATTTCTGCAGAGCCTCATTTCAGGGCCAGGAGAGAAACGGACCGGGGCACTCAAAGGACCCGTATGGGCGGGACCTGGTCGGGGGGCGGTCCCTGGAGTGAGGGGACCGGCTCTTGTCACACAACTTATTTTGGGGTTCAGAGCCACAGCTGCAGTCTGAGGCAGGATGGACCGAGCGGGAGGAGAGCCGCAAAGCTCTTCTGCTTTTAAGTGGGGTTGGAGGCCAGGCGCGGTGGCCAAGCCTGTAATCTCAGCACTTTGGGAGGCCAAGGCGGGCGGATCATCTGAGGTCAGGAGTTTGAGACCTGCCTGGCTACCATGGTGAAACCCCATTTCTACTAAAAATACAAACAATTAGCCGGGCACGACGGGCGCCTGTAATCCCAGCTACTCAGGAGGCTGAGGCAGGAGAATCGCTTGAACCCGGGAGGTGGAGCTTGCAGTGAGCAGAGATCAGGCCACTGGACTCCAGCCTGGGTGACAGAGCAAGACTTGGTCTCAAAAAAAAAAAAAAGGTGGGGTTTGAGGGATGGAAGTGGCTGAGGCCCACGCTGGGTAGGGGTGAAGACTACAGATGGCCTCAAAGTCCTCATATATGGAGTCAAGTCTAGCAACAGCTGAAGCCTAAAAACAGCTCTCAAGGCCCCTTTAATGACTTCCCGCTGTCCACTCAGAAGTCGACGGTCCAGTTCCTTCATCAGGCAGAGCTCTGCGTGGACAAAACTGGAATTTGTGGGTGGACAGCAGGGAGCACAGCCGCTTACAGGCACAGAGCCTTGAAGGCCACTTTGAGTATAGGCCACAGGGCCAGACCTGGGTTTGCTATTCTTGGGGTGGTGGGACCCCCACCACCTCCCTCCCACCCGCAGTAACCCAGACGGTGACGTGCAGCCGTGGTGCTACGTGGCTGAGACAGAGGAGGGCATCTACTGGCGCTATTGCGACATCCCCACCTGTCACAGTGAGTGGCGCAGCTGGACAGAGGTGGGAAGGAGGGTTGTTTTTGGAGTCATGGAAGTCTGACTCTCCCTCCTCAGTGCCAGGCTACCTGGGATGCTTTGTGGACTCAGGGGCACCCCCAGCACTCAGCGGCCCCAGCGGCACCTCCACGAAGCTCACGGTCCAGGTGTGCCTTCGCTTCTGCCGCATGAAGGGGTACCAGGTACTGCTCACGGGCCCAGACCAGTGACCCCTGACCTGGACCTAAAGACCCCACTCAACTCCTATCACTCAGTTGCCAAACCCAGACACCGCTTTCTGAACCTCCAGCCCGATTCCCACCCCGACCCCAGGCCCCACCACTTCACCCCTACCCCAGCCCCTGCGCTGGGGTCACCCAGACTGTGCTCCCAGCTGGCGGGCGTGGAGGCCGGTTACGCCTGCTTCTGTGGCTCTGAAAGCGACCTGGCCCGGGGACGCCTGGCCCCCGCCACCGACTGTGATCAGATCTGTTTCGGCCACCCGGGACAGCTGTGTGGCGGAGATGGGCGGCTGGGCGTCTATGAAGGTGAGGAGTGGGCGGGGACCAGCGGGGCCTGGCAGGGCAGGGGAGCCGTCGTGTCTTGGACCTCAGGGTCCTGACTGCCGGCTCTGCCCTCAGTGTCCGTGGGCTCCTGCCAGGGGAACTGGACGGCGCCTCAGGGCGTCATCTACTCCCCGGACTTCCCGGACGAGTACGGGCCGGACCGGAACTGCAGCTGGGCCCTGGGCCCGCCGGGCGCCGCGCTGGAGCTCACCTTCCGCCTCTTCGAGCTGGCCGACCCCCGCGACCGGCTGGAGCTGCGCGACGCGGCTTCGGGCAGCCTGCTCCGCGCCTTCGATGGCGCCCGCCCACCGCCTCCCGGGCCGCTGCGCCTGGGCACTGCCGCGCTGCTGCTCACTTTCCGAAGCGACGCGCGGGGCCACGCGCAAGGCTTCGCGCTCACCTACCGCGGTGAGCCCCGGCCCGGTGAGCCCTGCCCGCTGTTCCCACCCCGCTCTCCCCACCCCGCCTCACGCCCCTCTCCGCAGGGCTGCAGGACGCCGCAGAGGACCCAGCGGCCCCCGAGGGCTCGGCCCAGACCCCCGCGGCGCCCCTCGACGGGGCCAACGTGAGCTGCAGCCCCAGGCCTGGGACTCCGCAGGCTGCGATGGGGGGTGAGGCGGGCGCGCGGGACGGGAGGGAGTCAGGGAGCCGCCCTCTCAAGCCCATCCTCACCGCAGCCGTGTGCCCGCAGCCCGGGTCTTCTCGACGGTGACGGCTGTCTCGGTGCTGCTGCTGCTGCTCCTGGGGCTGCTGCGTCCGCTGCGCCGACGGTGCGGGGCGCTGGGGCAGGGCCTGAGGGCGGACCTGTGGTGGGGAGCTGGGGCCCCAGAAGGGAACGGAGCTAGGAAGGAACTCCTGGGTTCTTAAGGGAGCGAGGCTTTGGGTCCACACACAGGATCGCGCGCGGGATCGCAGGTAGAGCAGGACGCTGCAGCGGGATTGGTCGGGCTCGGCTGATGTCTGCTCCCTCTCTAGGAGCTGTCTGCTGGCTCCGGGAAAAGGGTCCCCGGCGCTGGGGCCTTCCAGGGGCCCCAGGAGAAGCTGGGCTGTGTGGTACCGACAGCCCCGAGGGGTGCCCCTGCCCTGCTCCCCCGGGGACCCCCAGGTTGAGGGTTCTGCTGCGGGCTACCGGCCTCTGAGTGCCTCCAGCCAGAGCTCCCTGCGCTCGCTCATCTCCGCTCTCTGACTCTGGACCCCCAGGGTCCGCTGGACTCGCCACCAGCGAGATACTGAGATGCTGTGCTGCGCCGCGCCCTACCTCGGCCTTGCGCCTGTTTAGGGGCAGCTCGGCCTCTGGTCATCTTGGGGAGACCAGAAGTCGGACAGGAAACATCTGGTGCTATTATCTGGGACTTGCCCTTACCGTGGGGGTCCAGATGGTCCAGACCAAAGGGCAAGAGAAATCCAGTCCCCTCTCCATGGACCTTTATGTGGGGGTGGTCTCTGGTTTTAGAGGTCTTTGAACCCCTCTGGGGGTGATCTTAGACTGCTGTCCTCAGTGAGAGGTCACAGGTCAATAAAAACGGTCAAAAAGACCCCCACAGACTTTGAATAAAGGATCTACTTTGGTCCGGGCCTCGAAAGTTCTTCCGCGGTGGGAGAAGCATGTTAATGACCATATAGGCGCCGAGGGTTGCATGTGTCCATGCAAATGAAGGGCGTTGCACGCAGACTTTGGTGCAGCTGCCTAGAACGCAGAGAAGGATCCGGAACGCAGACAGATGGGTGGGTGGGTGGAGTCCTGTAGAAGGCGGGGGCTCAAGAGGAGGAGGATCGTGGGCAGCGTTATGCTGAAGAAGGGGTGCCTTCCTGGTCCCTGCTCAGGGTGGACGGGGCGGAGGCCAGCTTTGCTCCCTTGGCCTCCAACCTTACATCTTTTCTGTTTCCTGTCTGTCCTGGGCAGGGCCCCGCAAGGATGCGCCTTGTGGGCGATAACTGGGAGCGAGTTGGGCTGAGCCCACGCTCCGAGAAGCCTGGCGCGAAGGGCAGGGCCTCTCCGGACAGCTGCGGGCGCGTGAGGCACGCCTTCAAAGGCCTGGGTACCGTGGAGCGCCTTGCTGCACTCCGGAGGAGTCCGACCGGTGGAAAGATCACTCTGGAGTGGGGGCGCACCGAATCTAGGCCGGACCCAGGCCGGACCCGTCCGGCAGCACCTTGGACAGAGCCCGGTCTGCAGGGTGGGGCTGGGTGGCGGGACTGTGCCCTCGAGGGTGGGTGCCCAAAGGTGCGGAGACCTGGGTGTCACGCAGAAAGCCCGGATGCACAGTTCTGAGGGACACGAGGTGCCAGGCTCATTCTAGCGGAGCTCGCAGGACCCGGAACGTCGGGTCGCAAGCCCCCAGCCACCCCATGCAAATAAGACTGGGATCGCGCATACTATGCTAGGAGGCGAGGCCTGGGCGGCCTTGGGGCGGAGCCTCCCCGCCGGCCGCGCCCATTGGCTCTCGCTGCGCCGACGTCAGGAGCCCAGCGCGCGAAACGCTGGCCTGCCGGCGGGGACTACGAGCCTGGGCGGAGCCTGGCGTCCCCTCCCGCGTCCGGCCGCGCCCGTCCTCCCGGCTGCAGAGAGACTACCGGCCACCGCTGCCGCCGCGAGCAGTCCCTGCGGCGCGACCGCCTCGGCGGAGCCGACCGCAGTGCGCTCAGGCGTCCGGTGCGTCCCCAGCCTCCACCCCGGCGCGGGGGCGTCGGACTCGCGCGTGCGCAGCGCGGGAGGGGCGCGGGCTGGGACCCCCTAGCCAGCGCGTGCGCCGATCAAGCGCAGGGCGGCGGGTGGGCGCCGGGCGCCTGGCAGTGATGGGCCTCCCCACGCTGCGGCCCCACTGAGGAGGCGGCTCGGGGACAGGAGGAGCACGGGCTGCCCGCGTGGTACGGACCATGGCGTTCCTGGCCGGGCCGCGCCTGCTGGACTGGGCCAGCTCGCCGCCGCACCTGCAGTTCAATAAGTTCGTGCTGACCGGGTACCGGCCCGCCAGCAGCGGCTCAGGCTGCCTGCGCAGCCTCTTCTACCTGCACAACGAACTGGGCAACATCTACACGCACGGTGAGCCGCGTCCCGCAACGCGCTTCCCACACCCGTGGCCGCCCTGCCCGCGTTGGGCCGGGGGCTTTGAGGCCGAGGAGGGCCCCAGCGCCCAAGTCCTGGGCTGCCCCGGCCCTGGCACAGCCAGTAGCCGCGGTGACAAAGCTGCCATTGTCCCGGGCCGCGCTGCCAGCTTCCGCTTTCCCGGCGGGTGGGGGCCGGGTCAGGAGAGCGAAGCAGAGTGGGGTCTGAGCCTGCTTAATCCCTCTGAGCCCCAGGGGTAGGGAGCCTGGTGTCCAGCCTCTGTAATCCCAGCGCCCTGGGCACCGTCTCCCGCCAGCACCCAGCCGGGAGATGGTGTTGACTGCGGTGAAGAGGGCCCAGGAGGAGCCTCCCAGCGCAGCCGTCCTGACGCCCCCGCCCCAAGCAGCTCTGTCTTGGGGCTCCGCCTGGTGGCGGCTCCTTCTTCCCCCAACAGGCGCCCGGCCCCTCCTCCGCGCCCCGCGGAGCTCTGCTGACACAGCCCTGCCCGTCCTTGAGCTGCCCCAGGCAGGCAAGGGACCCTGAGCGGCCGGGCCTGGCCTGGGTGCCTTCCCCGAGTTTTTGCCAGGCCACATCCCACAAGAGTGGGCAGCCTTCGGAGCCCCATTTGGCCCCCGGGAGGCCAGTGCTAGAGGCAGGCGGGGAGGGGTGGAGAATTCCCAGAAAGGGCTAGGCTGGAATGAAACTCCCCGGGGAGAGGCCTGGGGAGATGAGACGAGCCCCTCACAGCCCCCTTCCCTTCATTCTGGACTTGTCTTTCCCTGCCTGGTCTCACCCCTTTTTGGAAGATAAAAAGGCCCAGTGCCTCTATTTGTCTGGACACTTATGAAGAGAGGAGGACTTGGGTTGGGAAGAGCAAGCTAAGTGGCCCCGGGCTGGCATCACTGCTCATGTGTCCTCTTCACAACTCAGCTTGAGGTTTCACTGCCTTAGGCTTCTCCTGTGACCTCCTGCTTGTGTGGGGAGAGCAGTGTGAGGGTGGGAGGGCGCAGGCTTGTCCTCTGCCATTGCTTACTTGCTGGGCTCACCTGGGGCCTGTTGCTCAGCCCCTCCAAGTCTGTTTCATCACCTGCAAAGTGGGGATCATGGTCTCTACTTCCCAGACCATCCTGAGCCATGATAAGTAACCAGTGCCAAAAGCCATTTGCCCAGGGCCTGCCTCTGGCCAAGGCCAGGCGGCCAGCTGGATGACAGCATTACCTGGACCTGTCTTGCTCTGCCCTGTGTTGTGTCTGGACTGTGGTCCCCTTGAGGATGTGACTGAAGCTATCTGGTAGATGACTGTCTCCCTCCCTAGGGTTGGCCCTGCTGGGCTTCCTGGTGTTGGTGCCAATGACCATGCCCTGGGGTCAGCTGGGCAAGGATGGCTGGCTGGGAGGCACACACTGCGTGGCCTGCCTGGCACCCCCCGCAGGCTCCGTGCTCTATCACCTCTTTATGTGCCACCAAGGGGGCAGCACTGTGTACGCCCGGCTCCTCGCCCTGGACATGTGTGGGGTCTGCCTTGTCAACACCCTTGGTGAGTCAGGGTCCGAGGGATGGGAGCTGGAGCCACTGGTGGGGGAGGCATGGGACACGCATACAAGCCATGGGTAGGGAAGGGCGGGTGGACCCTCACACTGATGTGCCCTCTCCTGTTCTCTCCTCTGTGCAGGGGCCCTGCCCATCATCCACTGCACCCTGGCCTGCAGGCCCTGGCTGCGCCCGGCTGCCCTGGTGGGCTACACCGTGTTGTCGGGTGTGGCCGGCTGGCGTGCCCTCACCGCCCCCTCCACTAGTGCTCGGCTCCGGGCATTTGGTTGGCAGGCTGCTGCCCGCCTGCTGGTATTTGGGGCCCGGGGAGTGGGGCTGGGCTCAGGGGCTCCAGGCTCCCTGCCTTGCTACCTTCGCATGGACGCACTGGCGCTGCTTGGGGGGCTGGTGAACGTAGCCCGCCTGCCTGAGCGCTGGGGACCCGGCCGCTTCGACTACTGGGGCAATTCCCACCAGATCATGCACCTGCTGAGCGTGGGCTCCATCCTGCAGCTGCATGCCGGCGTTGTGCCCGACCTACTCTGGGCTGCCCACCACGCCTGTCCCCGGGACTGAGCTGCCATGCCAGCCTGCCCACAGCAGCCTCCAGGTGTTCTTCCCAACTTGTCTGCAAGGGATTGGCTCCCTGGATGCTTCCAGCTCACGAGACGTCTCAGCAGGAGCCCTGTTCACCTGTTCTTCCCTGTGGACTGACCTCTTCTGCCCATGCCGTGGCACTCCAACTTCCTTCCCTGCCTTTTCCCTCCAAGCTCCTGTTTTACTGTGTCAGGTGGAAGGAAATCTTTCCCTCTTGGGACCTCTTTACCCTCTGTGACCTGTGGGGTTGGACCAGACGGACTCTGGGGTCATGTCTTGCTCTGAGAGTTCAAGTCCTGCCAGGCCGCCAGCCCGGAGCCCTCACCCCATCCTGCTCCTCCCACCAGGCCTCTGGCCAGCCCTTTGGGCCCAGGCTTCCTGACCTCCATCTTTCTGCCCTGCATACCAGCCCTCCCAGCAGCCACAAGCTTGCCTGCCCTGGCTCCCTCCGCCCAGAGACTATGGAGTAAGGCATTCAGGGCAAAAGGACCAAGGGGGCGTGGACCCTTCTTGTACCAGCTGGCCACAGGCACAAGGGCCGCAGCTGCTGCTTCTAGGAAACGGGCACAGGGAGCTCAGTGGCCTCGGATCCTGGGACCTCTGGGCCGTGCCTGCCCTCCACCTTGAGTGCCATACTCCAACAGCTCCAGGTGCCCACCAGGGATGTGCCTGCTCAGGAAACCTCTTTGTTCCACACAGCATGGGGCTTCAGCTGCTGGCCCAAGGCTAGGAGTGCTGGGTTCTACAGCAGGGCTCAGCCTCAGGGGCCTAAGACCCTGGATGACATCAATAAGGGGACAGGAAGGGCCATGTTGCCACATGAGCAAGCTTGGGTGCTCCCAAGGCTCAAATACTTTTTATTGGACATGGCCAGGCAGCGAAGACCATGGGAGTTCCCGAGGGGCCCCAGCTTTCAAGGGCGGTGGGAGGGGCACAGGATAAAAGGTTAAAAGTGCAGAGGCAGAGCCTGGGGCTCAGGTTGGGTCTAGGGTGTCCTCAAACAGGCTGAGGAGGTTCCGAGGCTCAAAGGAGGGGAAGGAGCCCCGAGGAGGCTCTGAGTCGATGTCACTTAGGTCCAGGGCATCCCTGGGAGTAGGGAGGAGAGAGTAGTAACACTCAGGATCCAAAAGCCAGCCCTGCCCACCCGAGCCCATGGATCTGCTTACCTGGGTGTGCACCTGCTCCGGGGGGTGGAGGTGCTCCCCACAGTCCGGGCCAGGACAGCCTCAGGGGAGAGTGAGGGCCTGCAGGAGGGCGGGCAAGACAAACAGGGTGTCCAGGGCTAAGAAGTACGGGATAAAACCAGCTCCGTCCCTACACAGGCTCCAGGCTCCTGCCTGACAAACAGGCAGGGAGCCACAGTCAGGGACAATAAAAACTTGGTGCACTCTGAAAGCAGCA